GTTATACGAGAAACGAATTTTGAATATAAAACGCGGGCGTAATGTGTTTTCGGACGTTTTTACACTTGAAAAAAACGAAAATGATTAAATGGTGCCGCGATTTTTTTCGCAAAGTCCCCGCCCAAATCGATACGTGTTTTTCTTCCCCCCCCCATTTTTTCGCCCGAGCGTCACGAACCGATGACAGTGTTTGGTTTTTACGTTCGAGATAATATAAAATAGATACAGGAAATTGAATCGATTTACAAGACCCGGATTTCGAAGAGTACACATGTCAGAAATACCGTCGTTCGCGGACACTTCACTGAGTGCATATACCCACGCGTTATTTAACTTTGTACAGATTCCACATTGATTTCATAAACACCCTGTACACACCTGTTATACCGTCGTAGTCGTCGTCGTCGTAATAGTTATCGGCCGCGAGATAATAATATAATAATATTATAATATTCTGGCGCGTTACAATCTCGACTCGCCTACAAAAAAAAAAAAAAAATACACGACGGCGACGTACGTATTATTATTTAGGCGTCAGTGGCGCCCAAACTGTTTAATATTCCGGTCAAAGTGCGTGGCGCGTTAAATTTGTTACGCACGCGACCACTAGGGCGGCGCGGAGGTTCGAAACAGTGGCGCGCCCGGAAATTTTCAACGGGATGGGATAACAGAGCCGATTAACATTAACCCCGTCGAGTCTTCTCCGTTACCGGCAACGGGAATTAACAATTTTCAGCGGTCGCAAGAAAATGGATGGATCCGTTGAGTTTTGTACACGAACCGAGGGTACAAACAGAACGAACGTTTGCCACTATATGAGCGGTGGTAAACCAGTGGTAAGGCCAGCGATCGGGCGCGAACACATTGAATTTAAACGAGATAAAGCGCGACAAATCATCCGGTATCGAAATCGACGTTGTTATTGTAATATTATTGATGTTCAGTGTTAATCCAGATCAAACGGCGGTATATTCCGGATTGGAACGAACGAGAGGGTAGCATCAGTGGAGAATGTTAATTCAAAGCCGATTGATCGTTTTACAAATGTGTGACGTCATGTCCGCTTTAAAAATATTTAATAATGGCGCGTGGCTATTTTTTTTTATCGTCTCGGTTCGACTGGAAAAGTTATAAGTTGTGCGTAGAATGTTGACGACGGATACCGTTTACAGCACTCTCTGTTCACAAATTAGAGAGGGATTTTTATTAAAAGACAGGAATGGCGAACTTCTTGCCGGGTCGAGTACCAACATTGTTTTATTGAGAATAAAAAATTCAAACATACAACATTATGCGTACATTTTATTAAATACACTTTTGTTTGCTTTTTAGATTCCGAGGAGCGCAGCGAGGATTGTATTTGTTTTACGACGATGTTTATTTTTTTCATAATAAATGGGAAAAGCGGGGAAATTTACGAAGTTTGTCGTTTACAAATCGTATATATATATATTTACTGTTTTTCAAAACGTAAATAACCGACCCGGCTCTGAATCGTTTTTCGTTAGCAACGGTTAATTGTTGCGCATATTGTTACACATTAAATTTCCCGTCTACCTTCATAACTTTTCACTTACAGCAGTAAGGCCCATCCAAGTAGATGCGTTTGTTTTTTTTTTTTTTTATATAGTAAAAGTGATTGAAAACGTTATTATAACACAATATTTCAGTGATTTTTGTCGCCGCAGTTTTTTTTTTTTTGGCGGATACAGGTAGAGATGTCAGTACTGTAGTTTTGTAATTTGTAACCTATACAATGCAGGTGCTCACGATAGTGACGCGTACTAAAACTCTGAACGCGGAATACAAACTACGTGAAATAAGGGGCGGGCACGGCGGGTTTTGTAATATTTGTTAGCGGGCTACGCGTCGTCAGAATTGTAATATTATGGACGTAGCCCGTACACAAATTCACAAGCACACAAAACGTGCCGTATCCGTACGGCGATAATGTCCAGTTAAATTTTACAAAAAAAAAAAAAAATTGATAAAATTCGTTTAACGACAATCCGTGCGGGCGCCATACGAGAACGATGTCCGAAACGTAAAATCCAAACTCGCCGTGCGGACATCGTTTAATGAAATCATTGCATTTTAATTGAACCGATGCGGCTAAACGCTCGTGAAACGTAAGACATTGCGACACGGACGCGGTTCGCGCAGCGTTTGCGCGTTTTGAGTACGGCAGCGCGAGAAATACACGCGCGTTCCGAATACCGGAGCCGTTCGGGAATGCGTGCCGCGCGAGTATTATCGGCGGGAACCGTTCGGGAAAAGACGAACAACGGGACGGGGAGAGGGGGGGGGGGCGCCGGACGGCAGCACGTCGTTTGGGCACCACTGTCGTCCGCAGCGATTCGATCGTTGTTAATTGTTTAATAATAATATCGATAATAGTTATTATTGTTTCGCGCTGTCCCGGCCGCCGCGATTGCGGTCCGAACACCGTCGCCAACGCAATGACCGGCCAATTACCGATGTCGCTGTACTCGCGCGCGCGCGCGCCTATTCGAATCGCGCCGGCGACCGCGAAACCGCGCGCGCGCCCGTGTCGCCGGAGCCGCGGGGAAGTGACGGCGAGTCCGGCGGCGGCGTCGTGCGGCGTCGCTCCACTCGGTCCCGCCGTTCGAAAACAGCAAACGGTTCGGCGTTTTCGTTTTCTCTTCGTTTCGTATGTTGTCGATCGCGACACAATAGAGCGTCGCGTACAGAAACGCGCGTCGGTTTAAGTGTTTCGCGCGCTTTGCGCACGGCCAATAATCGCGGTGTTTTTTTTTTTTTAGTTTTCAATCAATAAAAACTCGCGCCGTACACCCGACCGCAGTGCAATAATAATATTGACGCGTGTCGAAATTCAATACAATATGGAAATTAAATATATAATATGTAACGGGGAAAAAAAAAAACCCGTACGATTAACGTTAGAACAAGGTGTATACAACCTACCTGCCGCCGTTTTTTTTTTTTTTTAATATATATATATACGGATTACAAAATAAAACGCGAGACACGATTATTATCGTTATTACTATTATTATTATTATTATTATTATTATTACGTTCGCAAATTCAATACAATATGGAAATTAAATATATAATATGTAACGGGGAAAAAAAAAAAAAAAAAAAGAAAAAAAAAAAGTGTACGCATACAGAACGGCGTGTACAATAATAATATACGGAATAACGACGCGATAATAAATATTGTTGTACACCGCGGTACGCACCCGGCGGACGTCTGCGGTTTTATCTCGACGTCGGCCGCGGATTTTTTCACGTTATCACGCCCAGATAAAACGAACCTCCGGTACGCGTACGTGGCGGTACGTGTCGCGCACACGGCGAATGTGCGACGACGCGCACACGCAACGCGTTAACCGGCCGTTCGACGCGGTACCGATTTCCCCGCGGTTTCACTCCCCCCCGATCCCCCCCCCGACGCGGGTTTTCGCGTTCGCCGGGGAAACCCTCGGACGGCCCTTTTAGAGACGCGCGCGCACGTTGTCGCCGTCGAACCGTCGGCATTTCCGTTGCGCGTACACAGGTGTGACAACGTGCACTGGGATGCGGTCGGCGGCTGCGGCGGCGGCGGCGGGGGGGGGGACGGGGCCCGTCGGATTTCGGAAACCCCGAACCGGGTGCGCCGGGTCGACGCATCGCACGGCCACGCGCTGCCTTGTGTTTTCATTCGTCCGCGCCTACCCCGGCCCCCTTTCGTCCGACGGAGCGTTGTTCGTATACGGGTTTCCCCCCGAGCCCCGGCCAACCGACCACGACGCGCCGTCGAAACCGGGGCGAACGGCAGGCCATAAATGCCGTTGACGGACCACGGTTCCGAAACGCGCCGGATTTTCGACGCGGGAGAGTATCGTTCAAATGCGTTCGATTCTCGTCCGTGGTCTCGACTGGCAATCAGACCGTCATTGAAAATGCGCGTGACGCGGCCGGTTTAAAAGAGCGATCGGCAGAATTACGCGAAGTGATTACGCTCTCGATGTTCGCCTAAACATCGCCCGGACCTTTAGGGACGACGGAAAAGAGCCGCGTTTTATACGAGACTGTCTAGAGTCTATAAAACGCAATGATAAATATTAATACGTACGCAGTTACGTTAATTATTACGTTCTTATCGAGAAAACATATTTAAGTACTCGTAATTATTAAGGCAGATATTCATGAGCATTGGCATGTTTTGTTTATCGCGGTCGGTTAAAAAAAAAAAAAAAAAAATAAAAAATAGCTAGTTTACCGTACACCAAAATGTGGTTCACGATCACGACCTATAAATACTGCGCAAAATTTCATTTCGCACATTATTTTATAGCATTTCGCACATTTTTAGACATTTTCCATATGATTTTTATCGATTTCGTTTTTGAATTGAACGTTCTCTGATTATTTTAATATATTTAACGGTTTTCAGGGCGTATAAATATCTGCCAGAAATTGCCCGGAGCGGGGCGAAATAAAGCTTTCAATTTTTGAAAATGTATTGCGATGCTTTTGATTATTCACTAGGATGCCCGGGATGTATTTTTTAAATTGTCTTTATCGTATTTTGTACGTTTAATTTTCTAAAGGAAAATCTCAAAACCGATATCGTTCGATTGAAATTTATTTGAACGCGCGTAACGGTATTTATTTATTTTTTTTTGTGGGGAGGAATTTTTTGTATAAAATATCCCGGCAGTGACGTTATACAAACACTGTCGCGGGCACCGCAAAGTCAAACGGATTTAATACGTATCGCGTGTTCGCGGCGTGTCGTCCGTGTACACGTGCTGACACGCGAGGGCGTGTGTATGGAAAAATTATCGATATCTCGAGCAGCCAAGGTATTGCAGAGATTTTCATTCGGACACCGTTCGCCGAGCGCGCAACAGGCTCTTTTTACTGGACGCGGTGTTGTGCAAGCGTGCGACGCGACGCGAATCACGGAATTTTTCAAACCCTCGAGACCCGGCGCGCAATATCACACGACGCCCGGTAACGTCGCGCCGTCCTTGCGTATGGCATCCCGCGATTCGTTCGGTATCCGCAAGCACGCGCGCACGTCGCTACGCGTCCCGGCGAATAACGCGCGGTATGGTTATGCAACGTCCCGCGCGTCTTTGCGGGTCCGTGATGGATTTTTCGTCCGTAAACAAAAAAAAAAAAAAAAAAAAAAAAAAACGGTCACCGCGACCTTTCGGACGTACGTCCGTCCACAAACAATCGGACGATCCGTCCCGCGGAGGGGGGCGGGGGGGGGCGGTGGGAGGTATTATTTATTTATTATTTTGTTTTTTTTTCCTTAAATTTCAATACGTTTCGTATTAAACGCGCAGGTAGGTATACCGGCGACGCGGTGTACAAGACGCGACGCATGCCGCAGTCTGTTCAATCGGTCCGGAAAGACCGCAATAAACGCGTCGAACGATTCATTTTTACGCGCTTTCGACCGTTATAATGGTCTAACGATTATACGGGAGACGAACGGTTTTTTTTTTTTTTTTTTGTTCCCCACGCACACGGATCGATAAAATTCTTCTTTCCCGTTTTTCGATAGATTTCGGCTCTCGGCGGACATTATTGACGCGCGCTATTGCATTGTGCGTGTGTGCGTGTGTACGCACAGTATATTTTGTATACGGTTCGCAAAACGCACCGGTATATAACACACGCGGGTTCACGCAGACACGGCCGCACGTTCCGTACGCGGGCGGCTCCGCGCCATTATTGTCGTACAGAATTGTGTAACGAACAAGTGAATTTTCATAATGCCCGTTTCGTTAAAATCCAATGCTCTCGGCCCCGGACGCGCCCGACACAACACGGGTCCGGCATTATGTCATTCGTTACCTACGCGGTAAGTTTAACGTCTTTTCGGGATCGCGCCGCTTTGTCGGACGACAAAATAGAACAGAAAAAAAAAAAAAAAAACCACCGAAAAAACGGCACGCTGCGACAACAAATACGTGCACGTCTTTTGTGCGCGCACACTGCCGGATTAAAATGTAATAACGTCCCGGGGGCGAATCAAACGCGAAACGCGGTTAGGTTTTTCGATTCGTAATTCACATAATGTTCGGTCCCCGCAGCGGGTCGGAACGGTCCGGGCCGATTTCGTTTTTTCCATTCTTTTTCTCCCCATACGCAATCCCGTCGGTTTTCACGTTTCCGCGCGTTCGGCCGTGTTTCGCATGTGTTTCACGTGCCCGTTATTGAACGCTTGATAAATGTACGCGAGTACAAACCGACTCGGGCCGGCGTACCCCGGCAATTGTTACAAGCGACTTTCCCCGGGACCCGGAAAAAAAAAACAACAAAAAAAACACGATGTTACGTGCCGAAAACCGCCGGGGAAAACTATTGACGTCCGGAAACCCCGCGGGAGATACGATAAATTGTCAATAACAATAACAATAATAATAATGACGATAGTAACAATACGGGTCTCGGGATCGTTTTCCGAACGCGATAATCTTATTTGAAAACCGCCAGTGATCGCGCGCGTCGTCGTAGCGTCGCGAACGGCCTGAATGACACCGACGGACATGGTAAATGTCATGATACGAGGTACGTCCAGAAAGTAAGATCCGTTTTCTATTTTTATCGCGTTTGCGATGTTATCTTAATTACGGTCATATCCGATTATTTCATTTACCTATTTGGAACATTTTCAAACCATTCCGTGACTAGTTAGTGTACGTACGTCACGTGGCAAGCGTTTTAAAATGGATAAACGAATGGAAAATTCCGCCACACGTGAGTTACGGTCTGTGATTCGTTTTTTAAATGCAAAGAATGTCAAACCAGTTGATACTCGTCGTCAAATTTGTGAAGTTTATGGAGAAAATGCGATGAGCGATTCAATGGTTAGGAGATGGGTGCGACTTTTCAATGAAGGCCGTACAAATGTTCGCGATGAAGAACGAACTCCGGGCGACCGTCTTTGGCCCGCACACGGCAAATGTGACGAAACAACTTCTTGCAGATTTTGCACGGGGACAATTTAATCGTCCGCCCTACAGTCCAGATTTGGCACCCAGTGATTTTCATCTTTTTTTTACACGTGAAATCATTTATGGGTGGCCAGAACTTCAACGGAGATGACGAGGTGAAAAACGCGGGGCTCGAACCCACGACCCCGGGATCGAGAGTGTCGCGCCCCGCCGACCGTGCTAGCCGGGGGCGGGATCCGGTGGCCGAATGAATCGACGAGTCTGTCGCGGGGAAAGAAACGGGAAAACGGTGGAGCGGTGCCGTCCGGTTCCCGTTATCGCGTGTCTCGTTATTATTGCGCGGGATGTTTAACCGCAATACGCACTGTTTCGTATTAATCTGAAAATCGGCTTATTAACCGATAAAATAAAGCGGGTGTCCGCTGTAATAAAACGGAGATAACATTAATGTTATGCGACGTTATATTACGATGTTTACCGCATTGTGCATGCCGTCGCGCAGCGTCCGGGAACCCGCGGCGGTTTCGTTTCCCGCGCGGACGGAACGGTCGCGTTTGTTTTTCGCATTATTGCGTTACGCGCGCGGCCGCGTACCGCGCGTTGAAAACCGTCCGACCCGTTTTTCCGACGTTCGCGTTTGGCGGTTAACGTTTTCGGTAAGCGAAACGCGTACGTTCGTAGTGGCGCGAAATCGAAAAAAAAAAACAGAAAACGAAAACGGAAAAGAATAGTTTGCGTTTCGACGCCGCGCGCGCGTCTTTCCGTAAAACGTGTTACTCTGAAATTCCGCGTGGAATCCGTACGACGCCCGCGCCGAGCGCTGTTAGCAAAGGCCGAACCGAGAGAGGGGAGGGGGGGGGGAGAACGCGCGCGCGCCCGTCACCGTTCGCGGCCGGTCGGACGGACAAATTTTACCGGCGGGCGGCGAAACGGAAGGTGTACGACGTTTCGAACAAAAACCGTACGGGTTTACACGATAAATTACGGGTTTTTTTTTTTTCTTCCTCTCTCCGTCGGACGAGTTTACGCGGCGTACGTTATTCTTCGCGCGCGCTGTTATTTCGCCGTCCCGACGACCGCAAAGGCACGGCGTGTCCGCAGCTGCGCGCGAATTGATGTCTCGGCGTTTATCACGCGGCGACCGTCGCGGGGACCACTCGCCGAACGAGCGCCACGCCGCCGGCCGCGGAACACGGCGGTCGCGCGTGGTCGTTAATTATTCCCGTCGCCGTCACGCACGGGCGGGTTTCGTTAGCATAACTCGTTTCGGCGCGCCGCAGAAGTGGAAATTAAGAGAGAAAAAAAAAAAAAACGAAACGCGGCGGGCGGGCCGGGGGGGGGAAACGCGCCGCTACCGTGCTACTGCGTGTTTGTAGCCGTCGGACCGCATGGCGGAATCGGCGAAACGCGAAAATTCGACAATTTCATTCGTACGGCAACAACGTTAACGCGCCGTCATCACCGCGCGACGGTGTCGCGGTTTTTTTTTTCTCGCGCGTTACGCCCGCGGCCCGTCATCGGCCGGCGCGTCGGGGCCGCACGGTCGGCACGCGGGCCCGGCCCGGGACAGAGCGGGCGCTCGAGTTTCGCCGCCAACCGCGGGGCGGTACCGGGCCAACGGTTTTGAACGCGGCCCCCGGAATAAAGGCCGTCCTGAGCGCGGGCCTGCGCAGCGTGCACCCGTTGGGGCCGGGCCCGCGCGGACGAACGGCGGCAACGAGGACGCCGGACCGAGAGCGCGATTTCAGGTTCCCGGTGTATTCCCTATTGGTTTCGCTACGGCGTTTAATTTTTTCTATTATTCGTCCTAGTCTGCGGACGCGTTTTTTTCCTAGTGAACTTGCTCCGCGACCTTTACGCGTAGCACTTTTTTGCGAAAGCCCAAGTCGCTTTCGTCGTATACTAAACGGGTCGTTTTTCTTTCGATTTTCGACGTCGTTCTTTTTTTTTAAATAAAAGCGTTCGTGTGGGAAAAAACGCAGGGAAACGTGCAATTTTACGATTTGGTTGTTTTATAAAAACACGGACGACGTTTTATACCGGAAAAAAAATAATCGAATCGGAAGAACACGCGACATATTTTTTGTTGACTTTTCGGTTCATTTTCTGACGGTATCATTGTCGAAACTTTTGAACCACTTTTGAGTTTCAAGGAATTGTAATTTTTGAAAGTTCTTTCGCTCTAATTCGGTTATAATTTCACGTAGAGACTTGGTGACAATACTTATTTAGACGCGGTGAAATTTCCAAAATCATCGGACGACTTGTATTGCCGAACTGCATTCGGAATCGTGTTTCGTCAAGCAACGGTTTGTCGCTGCTAACAGATATCAACGAAATAACATTATGTATCCTACCGTCCCGAATTCTCACCTACAACAGCGGCCGCTCCTATTCCCAAAATCAGCTTTCTTTTTTTCCGTATTTTAAATTTGGTAATATTTGAATATTATGCTAAATAGGTGTTATTACACATGTTGATATTGCTACATCGATTCGTCCGGAGCCGAGGAATACCGTTCGCGATCGTTCGCCCGGTCGATAGATCGACAAATAAAAACTAGATCACGTTTGTCGCCGAACGAGATTTACAATTCTTTTGCACACGCGTCAATATATCGTAATATATCGTCGCGCGAGTTTTTTTTTTTTTTTCTAATGTTCAATAGGTACACAACCGACATTTCTCAACGGGTTTCTCGCCGACGGACAAAAACAAAAAACACCGCGGCCCCGAGCGACGGGCCGGGGCGTTTGTGAACCGTCCGCGACGCGCGAAATCGAGAGCAGAAAGAAACCAAACCACTCGGGCCGTTTCCGGGACGGGTCAGCGGGTCGGGTCGGGCCGGGCGGCGCGTCGCCGTTAGCGCCGTTGTCGTTGCGCGATCGGGTCGCGGCGGCCGGAAAATCGCCCGCGTCCTCGCGACGGCCTTTTCGGTGTATCGCTCGGACACACGCCGAAGTCGAGTTGAGAGGCGGGCGAGAGGGCGCACGCGGAAAAAAACAACGATCCGAAACGCGCTCGGACGGGCGCGCACGCGTTGTTTCAGACCTCGGGCCCGTCGATAATAATTTTATTAATGGGTTAGGTTAGTACCCTGATAAAACGCTCGGCAGCGTGATAACGGCAGTAACGGCGGCGGCGGCGGCAGTACGAGAGAGCGCGCGCGCGCGGGACGGAAACGACGTCGTCGGATGCGGCGGCACGTCGGAATTCACCGCGACGGCGGACGACAACGGACCGCGATTGTTCGCGACAACGCGATATTCAACGCCCGTCTGTTGTTATCGCCGTCATTGTTATTGGCGGTAATTAGTTTCTGTTCCGATAACGATAATTGTTACACCGGCGGCTGACGTGACGCGGCAGTATGCGCGCGCGCGGTTATTTAATTTTTTTTTTTTTTTTGAATTTTTTTTCCTCTTTACCTACGCAACGCAACGTCCGGCGCACCGTCGCCGGGTGCGGCGGCGGGGCGACACACCGGCATGAAATAACAATCACGCGCGCGCCGGCGGCACTTGTCCTTATCTCGAATAACTTCCGTCTTCGGTGCGCGGCGCACGCGATTTATAAAGCGCCGCTCGCGTTATCCGTGACGCGTTATCAACGGCCGACGCGGGTCCGCGCACGGTCGCCGCTCGCGGATAAACGGCCGACGCGGGTTCGGGAGGACGCGCGATACCGCGCCGTCTCGCGTTTGGGCGGGATAGGGGGAAGGTGGAAATGTAATCGCTTGGCGACGCGGACATTTATTAGCGGAGACGACACTTTCGAGTTTCACGTCGCGGAGCGAATTGACCCGGTGCCAAACCTCGCGATTAGAACCTCGTCATTAATCTGTGCGCGACGACGCGCGCGTCGGGTTTTTTTTTTTTATTTGTCCAAAACATTTATAATATTCGGCTTAAAAATAGTGTAGAAAAAAAAAAAATACCGACGGACGTTTTCGCCGATTTATAATACGTTCTTGTCCTAAAGTTTGTTTAAAAGGGTCCGATTCGCTCGGATATCAAAACTACAAAACGGTGTATAAAATATTGTGGTCCGAGGACACATGCTGTGTGTATCCATGTAGTCCTCTAACGCCGCGACGTATTGAAATGCAAAATAATTTGTCGACGACAATATATGCGTTTTTATATTGCTATCGTTTCCAATACATATATATACGGCCGGGAGGTGGGAGCGGTGAAAATGCATCGGCTGTGGTACATCACGCCTGCCGCATAAAAAACCGCCCTGAACCCAAGACCTAGGGGCGGCTGTACCGCGGTGTAATACGCGAACGAAAATCAAAATGGTCCTCTTAAACACACTATACTCGGACACATACATATATATATCACTCTCCTGCAGCGGACAAGGCCTCGGGTTTCGGACTGTAGTACGACGTATGACGCGAGGCAAGGACTTATAGACGGGGAGGATTTGGTGAGGTCTAGAGGTCTGCGATATTAGATACCTTTTACGTACGGCTAAAGTATAAAAAGCAACAGCGGTGGAGGGGAGGGAGGGCGTTACAACACCCAGAAATCATCCTGGCTACGCAACCGTGGACGTAGGTGCGCGCCTAAATCTGCGTCACATTTGAAAACCGTCAACGGTATCGACGGCGCGTTTTGTTAAGAGAACGCGTTAAACGGAAACGCATGTTTCCGGGATCGGAAAAATCAGCAAAATCGCGGGCGTGAACCGGTAAAAGGGCGTGTTTGGTTAATTATGCGGGGAGTCCGGCTGGTGATGGTCGACCAAAAGACATCCGGGCGCCGTTTTTAAAACGTAATCGAGTCAACGCCAATCCCGTTTGAACGGCGTGTACACGGTGTTTTTTTACGCGCGCCCGGGTAATAACCGTATCGGTTTCCCGCGATAAACAACGCCGTTATAAAACTGTGTTGCCGCACCGTCGCGAAACGGTTCGGTTTTCGCTCCGCGAAAAGGAAGCGCGTGACAGTGTCGTGAAAAAATGCACTTCTGCGCGTCCGGACTGCGACAGTGACGTTATAATATACGTGTACGACACCCGTCACGGGTACACGCAAAACTATTG